CCCACCACAAACGTCCCCTCGGTGGCCCGCAACTCCAATCCGCCGCCTCCGAGCTCGCGCGCGGCGGGAAAGCAGCCCATGACCTTCAACTCGACGGCCAAGACTCCCGCCAGGCCCGCCAACGGCGTGCCCCCCTCGTCCAACTCGGGCAAGCGCTCCGTCTCGTCCTCCACACACGGTCACCCTCCCGCCGTCAACGCGCCCAGCAACGCAAAGATCTGGTCAACAAGCTCGGCAGAGGAGCGCGAGCGCATCAAGGAGTTCTGGCTCGGCCTCTCCATGAAGGACCGTCAGAAGCTCGTCCAGGTCGAAAAGGAGACCGTCCTCAGAAAGATGAAGGAGCAGCAAAAGTTCCTCTGCAGCTGCGCCGTCTGCGGTCGCAAGCGCTCCGCCATCGAGGAGGAACTCGAGGTCCTCTACGACGCCTACTACGACGAGCTCGAGGAATACGCAAACCACCAGCAGCGCTGGGCAAGCAGCGGCGGCACCATCCCTCCGCCGCCGGGGCCTGGTCCATTCCCTGGTAGCGTCGCGCTCGACGCATCGGGGGCCGTCATCGGCGGCGATCCGCTCTCGCGCACACGCGCAGCCCACGGCGGCCGCGATGCTCGCCATACGCATGCGCACGCGCACGCGCATCCGCACCCGCACGGACGCAAGGCGCCGCTCCATCCCGAGTCGTCCGACGGCTACGACGACGACGAATTGGACGATGACGCCGAGTACGACGATGACGACGACGATGCCACCTACGACGACGAAGAGGAAGACGACGACATCGAGCTCGAGAAGGAGCGTGCGCGCGACGAGTATGCCAAGCGCAACGCCGTCGCCTCGACGCGTCGACGCGCCACCAACGACGCCAGCGACGTCTTTGGCCTCGGCAGCAGCCTCACCGTCAAGGGCGGCATACTCACCGTCGCCGACGACATGCTCAAGAACGACGGCCGCAAGTTCCTCGAAATGATGGAACAGCTCGCCGAGCGTAGGATGCATCGCGAGGAGCTCACCAACGCCGAGCTCGCCCCCAGCGACGACGAGGACGACGTCGACGGCCCGGACGACGTCGACGACGAAGACATTGACGACGACGAGGACGACGAGGAAGACGACATCCTCACCGAGGAACAGCGCATGGAGGAGGGTCGCAAGATGTTCCAGATCTTCGCCGCTCGCATGTTTGAGCAGCGCGTGCTCGCCGCCTACCGCGAGCGCGTGGCGCAGGAGCGTCAGCTGCAGCTCCTACGCGAGCTCGAGGAGGAGGACACCAACGAAAAGGCGCGCGAGGCCCGTCGTGTCAAGGAGTCGCAGAAGAAGAAGGACAAGAAGAAGGCGCAGCGCGAAGCCAAGGAGGCCGAAAAGATGCGCAAGGACCAGGAGAAGGCCGCCGCCGAAGCCGAAGTGCGTGCAAAGCAGCAGGCGGAGCGCGATGCCGAGCTCAAGAAGCAAGAGGAGATCCGGTCCAAGAAGGAGGCGGAGCGCAAGGCGCGCGAGGACGAAAAGGCTCGCAAGGACGAGGAGCGCCGCCGTCGCCAGGCCGAAGAGCGCGAGCGCGAGCTCGAGCGCGAACGCAAGCGCCGCGAGAAGGACGAAAAGATCCGTCTCGAGCGCGAGGCGCAGGAGAAGGCCAAGCGCGATCGCGAAGAGGCCCAACGCAAGGCCAAGGAGGATCAGCAGCGTGCGCAGCGCGAAAAGGCCGAAAGGGAGCAGAAGGCCCGCGAGGAGCAGGAGCGCAAGTTCGAGGCGGCCAAGAGGGAGAAGGAGGCGCGCGCCCAGGCGCAACGCGAAGCCAAGCAGGCTGCTGCTGCTGCTGTCGCACCGCCCAAGTCGCCACCCAGTGCTGTCAAGCCTGGCATGGCCAAGGCGGCTCACGCTTCAGCACCTGCGACGCCCAACCGCGCCGCCAAAAACACGTCGGTTCCTGGCTCGCCCGCCGTTGCTCCTGGTCAAGCTTCGGGTCGCAACGCCCGCCCCGTTGTTGGTGCCAAGCTCGCTTCGGCGGCTCAGAGCAGCGGTGCGGCTGTTGCGGCAGCAACCGTCGGTGCCACGGCTCCTGGCGCGCCATCGGCAAACGCGACGCCTGCTTCGACCCTGCCAGCCCCACCCCAGGGCCTGCCTCCCCGCCCTATGACTGCTGTGCTCACGCCGTCTGGATCCTCGCAAAGCTCTTCGGTCTCGGTCGCCGCTAATGCTGGACTTCCGCGCCCGCCGGTCAACGCCTCGGCTGGCGGCGCAAGCGCCCCGGCTGCCTCGGTTGGCTTCGGCTCCATCGGTCCCAACGCCTCGGTTGCTGCTTCAGTGTCTTCGGCCAAGTCGCCTAGCTCCAGCTTCTCGCCCACGCTTGCGCAGCCCTTCGCGCAGTCCCAGGACAAGCAGGGCTCCAAGCCGCTGTACGGCTCGCCGCAGCCTCCGTTGGGAGCCACGTACGCGCAGCAGCCCGGGCTCGAAGGCCTGCGTTCGCCCACGCTTCCCAATGGCCTCGCTTCGAGCGGCATGTTCGGTAACGACCATGCCAGCATCGGCACGCCTGGCCTGAGCGGCATGACGAGCAACCTTGGTTCGCTCAACCTGAATGCGGCACCTCAGTCGTCGGCAAGCCTGAGCATGGGCAACCCGCTTGTGGGCAGCAAGGCGCCCATGCCGGGTATGGAATCGACGTCCGGTGGGCTGCCTCACGGCGGTCTTGGCAGCAGCATGCAGAGCCCGACGCAGACGCCCTTCTCGCCGATGGGCGGAAGCAATGCGGTGGACGCGATGCGCAGCCGCACTGCGTCGTTTGCCGACTCGGACCCCATGTCGGCGTTTGCCGGCATGCGTCCGAGCTCGTCGCTCTCGCAGAGGGTGCCTGGCTACCGGGCGGGTGGCGCGCCCACGCCGATCGGGCCGATCGGACGCCCCAAGGCGATGGACGCCATCCACCAGCATCCGCACGACGACCACACGGGCGCCATCGGCAATGGCCGCTCTTCGAGCAGCGCGAGCGGTTCGGGCGCGACGAGCCCG